GGAAATTAGCATGACACGTAACCCTACAAACTCACTCATAGACGAGCTCCGTAGGTCGAAGAACACTACTGACCCAGCATTGTCTATAAAACACCCAATGATGACTGTTTGGTCAACTGCATAGGTGAAACCAGTAGATGGGATCGGGGTGGTCAGGCTGTAGGAATAAGTGTATTAGCGAAGTGTAGAATGATTGACACCAAGAAAATAGGTGATTTAGAAAACATCTCAGCAATTGCAGTGCATGCATTAACACATAACCACAGGGTAGGGCAGGAGAGGCTTACAATTCTGAGAGGTGATACACGTAGTTGAAGAGAGATTGATAACTGAATCATTATTCATCGAGTCTACACCGAGAACATGAAATGGGAATTATTCGTCACCAATGCCAGAGATATGGCAGTACCCAGAAAATCAAAGCACAGCAACTTATCTTTCATTTCAATTTACTTTATCACATTTTGACATTTTATTTAGTATATTTTATTGACAACACTCATCTTATTTTGCATTTGACTGCATTCACACATCCGATCGCACTTTATCTCCATATAGTCTGTTTCATACATGCCTACTTCACTTTATATTGATCTGCATTTATTCATTCATTCGTCTAATCAGTGGTTTAATCATGTATGTGAACGAATTTGGAAGGCTGTGTGAGTACCTTTATATACTTATGGCATTAAATCGTGATTCTATCGAGTAGATTTACTCTATGATGAATTGTGATATGTTTTGTCTTACCAATTCATAGTTATGCATCTGTTGAATACAGAATGGGGTGGATTTGAAGAAAAATATTATCCACGCTTACTGTCTTATGCAGATGTGCACATTTTCGGGATTCGTTGGAAAGTTCAATGTTGTCATGACCATACAAACATGCAAATCTCCGAAAACGTGTCTAAACGTACGCGGGAGACTTATAACTTACACAGAACTCCTCTTATTCAGGCACCAGTCATTTTCCACATTACAGCAACCAAACATGCCATTGTATTTATCTCTTTCACTGATTTAATCGACTAAGCTAATCAAAATGTGCCACTCTATACCATCGCAGCACACATTTTGATCGAACTGCTGATTACATTCATAAATATTTCCTACTGTATGAATTCTCTCAAACTGGGGTCAAAACATATTACACCGATACAGAATGAGTGCAGTTTTATTTATCTTAATTTAATAGCATTACTGAAAAAAATCACTTATTTCCAACACCCGAAAAGTGATATTCTGAATCCAATTGATTATTCGGAAATCTGAAGATAAAACGAAACATAAAACAATGAGCGAATTCACTCATATGATGCATGTAGTTATGAGTAACACACAACAATCAATATAGAATTAAAACAATCCTGCCGATTGCTTCCAACCATCTAATATCATCAAATCAATGTGCACCGTGATGGTGAGCCTCCTAGAATGGTGGCCACATTGCAAACCTGACTGATGGAATCCAGTCTGCACCAAAATAAAGGACTAGACACATCACACTAGTTACTAGTGTCCAATCAAACAATCCAGTTAGTCTGGGAAATGTTCAGCATCATTTGGCTAGAAGATACTGTGTGCACAAATGATGATTAGTATCCCTATCTGCCGTGGTGCTACATCCTTCAGAAGTACAGTCAGCTTCCAATCTTCCGTATGGTGTCATGTCAGTTTTTTGAATATTTTATTCGAGTGGAATTCACTACTTACCATATTCATGCCACTGATTCATCAGTAAGAAAATCACGTGTTCAAATGATTGACGTGTCTTATGCATCCCTGTTAATTAACTGAATTGTCTGCTTCCCATTACACAGTAAGAGATACGTTTAGATAGTTCACGACTGAGATTCGATACCCCACCTTTACTGTTCTGATGGAGGATTATCTGTTTATTGGTTCAACAACGAATGAAGTCGAAAATCAAATACATGGTATGTCCAGTGTCACACACCATACCTTGGAGGCCATCAGTATGCAAAGTTTTTGAAGATGTGTACTTCCAGCAGTGCGCATTTGTTTTAAACAATTTGGCTACTTGTAGTTCAGTTCACACTTTTCTCTTCAAGTCTTCTGAGCGAATTCAAAACATAGTTACGTATTTTACGAAATGGTTGCGTCTATATAATTGAGAAAGATTTTTAGTCGAGAAGGAATTCCAGATGTCTTAGTTATTGATAATGGTACTCATTTCACTGAGAAGAACTTCAATGATTGGCTTAAACACATAGGTTGCCGTCATCTGTACACGACACCACGTCATCCTCAGTCAAACGGTTTGGCAGAAAATTTTGTACGAACATTAAAGAGTGCCATAGCATCAATGAGTCCTAAGAATTTTGATGAGCTAGAGAGATGTGTAGATAACTTCCTACTTCAATATCGCTATGCAGAGCATACAAGTACCCATGAAAGTTCTGCTAAACTGTTCAAATCTCGAATTCTCAGAAAGCACCTAATGTCTACGACTTCTGATGTACATTATTACAGAGGGAATGACTATAGACCTTCTGTTGGAATCATACTACAAAAAATGGGAAATCGAATGGTGAAAATATTAGACATCGAAGATCATTCAATTCATAACAGACACCTGGATCAAGTGAGAATAAACGAAGTAGGTCGTTCCGATTATAATTTTAATGATTCCGCTACTAATCCTGATATTGTAGATAATTCAGAAATAAGTCCAGATGATACTGATGAAAATAATATCACAGAATCAGTTAGAAGATTCCAGAGACTTGCAAGCAAACCGAGACCTCATTATAAATACACAAGGAGACATTCGACATGTGGCGGATGTGGTGATTGACAATTTCTATCTTTGTATTGTTTAAATACTTACTGTTGTTTGTTAATATATTTATTATATGATTTGAAATATAATTCCGCCAAATACAAATTCCTAAATTCATCCCTCTCTGTGTTTTGGTTGAATTCCTGTAATTCGGTCATTGCGAAATACAAATACTACTATTACAAATAATTATCACAATAATACAAACGACATTACAATTTCGTGTTTGATATTGCATCTTGCAATGACTTCATTTCATAAATATTTCCAACCTCCTCTTTATCACATAAATGATGGAATTCGGTGGACAGTTGAAATTTAATTTAATATTGCTTGAATATTTTGATGAATGCATTCATAATGATTATGTGAATAGTCAATCTCTGACTTATTAGGAATTGTTATAATGACAAGGTGCACAGTTTTATACCCCTCATTTCGCCCACATTTCATTACTCGAAATCGCCTCAAATCAGAATCGACAATTTAAACCAAGAGGTCCTATGCCATAGTTTGATTGTCAGCGTTTGATGCCCGACAACTAAACACATTAGTTATTGGTAGTTGATGCACATAAGATGTATCTTCTCATTTGCGCACATACCAGTGTCATCTTTTGATTTTCCTGTGGGTCCAATACCAAGAAGCTATTAGAGGGAATGTGGCAGTCGCATTTGTTCTTCTACATAGTTGTGTGTCGCATTACAGTATCGAGGCATAATCCCAGTGATATTATTTGTGACAATAACAAAGTTAGCCACATATTAGTGATCGTCACAGATACAGGATATCAAACAGTCACAATGCCAATAACAGATTCGAAAAACGTTTGAAAATTTCATGATTATAAGACGTTGATGAGAAACTAAAATTTGAATAAAGCAAGAACAACAGTGGTTTGTGCAGAATAATATGGTACCATCATTTTTTTCGTTGGCTTCTCATCAGCTGCTTACAGCCTAAATAAATTATGAGGTTTGCGTACAGAAAAGTTTTAACATACTTGCAAATTTTACATGTTGTCAGTTGACAAAAGTTCCACAATAGGTGAACAGTGCTCAGAAAATTGCGCTTATATAGTTTTTACACAGGCAGTTCAAGTTTAAACAAAATAAATGTATGCATACAATGGTAAAAGAGTTACGTAATAAAGACGAAATATGCGTTAGATACAGAGTGACTAACAAATTAGGTAACAATCTACTGAATTCAACTCAAATCATAGAAACAAGAGACAAGCAAAATTACAGATCATAAAAGGGGGTGAGGTTAAAGACAAAGATTATGTAATCAGATGAGAGAATAAAGATATTCAGTTACCAGGGCAAGGAAAGATTAATAACTGCTTCTTTCTGAACACATAAATCTGGTTTCAAACGTTTGATAGAAATTGCTTCAGCAAACTTGAGGAGAATGGAACTCCTTTGTCTATTGATAATTTCAAAGGATTTCTCGATTTCTACCTCATGACCCGTGTCAAGAAGATGTCTAGTAATAGCGCTACTGTAAGAGTTTGTTCCCTTGAGACGTAGGTTTTTTGGCACATGTTCAGAAAATCGGAGGTATACCCTTCTTTCTGTTCTCCCAGTGTAACTGCTCCCGCAGATACACGTAAATTCGTCTTTATTACGTAACTCTTTTACCATTGTATGCATACATTTATTTTGTTTAAACTTGAACTGCCTGTGTAAAAACTATATAAGCGCAATTTTCTGAGCACTGTTCACCTATTGTGGAACTTTTGTCAACTGACAACATGTAAAATTTGCAAGTATGTTAAAACTTTTCTGTACGCAAACCTCATAATTTATTTAGGCTGTAAGCAGCTGATGAGAAGCCAACGAAAAAAATGATGGTACCATATTATTCTGCACAAGCCACTGTTGTTCTTGCTTTATTCAAATTCATCAAGGGGAATAAATGCATGAAGAAACTAAAATATCTAAGCACCAAGAGCCCAAAACAAGTGTGTTTAACTTTGCTCAGTCAGTCATGAAGACTTTTGAAGACGTTCCATTCTCATATAATTCACCCTTATTTCAATCTTAGGCGTATTCTGACAGTTAGTGATTTGTTGTGTAATATATTACATTTCAAATTGACAGAAACACTTTTAATGAAGAAACCTTACAATGAAACTTGATAACACTTGTGAGTAAATCAGCAAAACATATGGAAACACAAAAATTATACCTCAGTCAGTTTTTATCTCAATTCTTCCTTTTGGACTGTAGCCATTTCGTGGATCTGAACGTCTATTGATTGCTCGTTGATTGAAACTGAATGTCAGAATAGTTGTAAAGTAATTTTAAAAATTTACAGTCACTAACTCAATAAAATGTCAAAATATATAAAACTCGAAAAACAAAGATTTATGATGAATCATGTAGGCAGTAAACAATCATAAGTTCTCTGAAGTTTACAGGATTTCATCATGAGTTGACATTAGTTAGAGAACCATTGGAAAATCTGGAAGTACTGGACAGCTGTTTCGTCCTAGTTTGGGACTCTTCATCAGTACGCATCGAACCCAGGACCTTCTGGTTACAAGGCGACCTCGTATACCATTAAGCCACTGGGACCCGATCCAATGGCCCATGAATTCTAACTTCTGCCAATTCACGATATAGCGCAACCCCTAGCCAATGTCTTTGGCGAGTATTTGTCCTCACACCCGACCTGCTGCACCCTACTGGTCACTAGAACCCCAGGTAACTACCTACTTGGTCCCAATGGTTCTCTAACTAATGCCAGCTCATGATGAAATCCTGTAACCAATCAAATCCCCACAAATCAACACTTGAATTCTCTGAAGTTTGTTTCATGATGAATGAGTGACAGTCATCGTATTATCGAAATGGAGTACACTTGATATGATTTGAATCCTAATTATTTTAATGACATTCTCATTGGGCTACCACAAGGAATGACTAGCGGATGCCTTTCAGTTAATGAAGTTGACAATCGGTGAGTACTCAGACGGTTGAAAATAATACAAATCAACTACAATTTTTAGGTCCATGGAAATGCAACTAGTGAATGACTTCCAACATATGCATATGTGACTCCATGAATAAATAAAATGATTTTTCATGAAATTAGTGGAATACCAAAGGAACTCGATGCATTTTCAGTAAAGACTCGAAGGCTATCTAAAAGGTGCAGCCATTTAATGGTTACTTAAACTTAGCTACTTGTATCACTTGTACTCTGGCATTTCAAACGTTGAAACCACAGTCACTATGTTGTTTGGCCATGATAGCCTCTGTTATAAGTCATTATCTGCTTAAGTTACTTCGCATCCTCCTTCAACTGATTTCTACTGAACCGGAATACTCAGTCTGTGTTAACATATCAGTCCACTGACACGAACGCTTCACAAATGCCTCTGACATATTGCCTTTCATTGTTTCGAAACTATTCATAAATGGAATTCTGAAAATTGAAACACCTGAGTAATCTAGTACTGAGATCACCATGTTACTCAGCACTTCATTTTTGATAGTAATCCTTGTCTCGAAAACCCTCTATTTGTTCTTCATCCGAAAATATCCGTTCATCATTCTTTGTTTGTTTATTTTGAGATACTGGAAAATATGCTCTTATTTCCAACCTGAATACGCCTCCATTCTTTATGTATTCATTATATCTCAGGTTACGGACTTTGTAGTCATGTGGATTTATAACATTTGTACAGTTGCAAGCAGTAGATTTAGCGGAACAATCTCATGCCCTTCACAATTTCAAATATCAATACGAGCGAAGTCATGGTGATTAGGATAAAAATGCAAGTCTTTCTTGACCCGTTTTTTACAGCAATACCGTGAATGAAATAAGCGCCATGATAATTACCCTTCTATGAAATAAATTCCTGTGATTCGTGTAATCGATGACAGTGATACAGCTTCTATATTTGCATTCATATTAATTCTCTTAGATATCGTGTGGCACACTTCGCGACTCTGATGAGAGTTTTCATGCACACAGTTAGATTTCAATAATGTTACAAGTCAATATGAACAGGTTTCCTTTTAAATACCCCATACTGTGTCCAACCCTAAGTCTGCATACTGACGTATATTTATTCAGTATTTTGTTTCACTGAATATTCTGTAGACGTTGATCGCAACAGATCACCTGTTGAACTTCATTTCACTTCGCTTAATAGAGAAACACAACTCTAAATAGAAATGAAAATGAACAGTGTAGTCTTTCTCATGTTGCCATGTCATTTGCCAGGTTCACTGTTCAAAACATCAATCAAGGTGACTGGGATTAAATGAATAACCACAGTGCTGAATTCTTATCGAAACTTCATAGAAATCCTGCATAAGACAGGTGGTTATCGGTTCACCTGCATGAATAAGTTACCAGAGAGTAGTCAGTAATTCTATCTGTTATCTGACATACTTTGTGTAGCTTTTTCATATAACATTAAGACGTATAATGCCGGACAATTCATTCAGTTCCAGTGATGGTCTATTATACTTTCAGATAAGTCACTTATCACTCACGTGTTTATTAACTCAAAATAATGATAAATATTAATTCACTTACAACGTGGGCATATAACCTAGAAGCGACGAAGGGTCTTGTTCTACACTATCGACCAATAGTAGCAGTGCCGAGATAATTGCTGAAATTGTTGAAAAAAAAGCATTGAATCAGTTGAGTGAATTCCCATAGATATGCTTATTTCCTAACCATTTCCATATACTATAAGAATATATGATGAGCTGAAATTGTACTGAGAATACAGCTGTTCTACTGTGGAATTCAAGTGACACTAAATAAATACTATTGAGATGTGGATTTGATTTCAATCAGTCAATAAATAATCGGCCAGTCTGAATACCTTAAAATTATCATTTAATATTACTACATTTCACAATATATAAAAGTGTCCTACCAATAGAAATGGGAGTATTTTCTCAACAATATCGCCTTAATCAGCCATAATAACACAAGGTGAGTTTGTTAGCGTAACACCCAAGCTAACTTCTGTTCCAGGTTTATCACATGTTGGGTGAAGCTAAAGTATGCATCGAACAGGAGTTGAAGATAGATTTCCTAAGTGACTGGAGATCATTTTACCATTGAACAACATATGCTATATAAATTAATATTTGCAGATAACTTACCACAGTATACTATTAGACGATTAAGAAATTGCTTGCCCATTTTAATCGCTGTGTCGTGAATTTGCAGAAATTGGCAACTTTTCACTCCGGTAAATGAGAAGCGTATTTGTTCTTAGTATGGATATATATATCCATACTTCTCTGGGTAAAACAGATTAACCAATCAGATGAATTTCAATAGCCGACAATATGACTTCAGCAAATGTATGATTAAATGTTTTTATTAAATGAAAAATCTACTTACCTTTCCTTAGCACATTTCCATATCATTTCTACATAGCCAAAATTCTGCTCTTAGATTTCTCTATCTAAGCTATCAATGTGGCAACCGTATCATGCAGCGAAATATTTCGCTACAATAATTTTTCACCGTAGTAAGTAGGAGGAACATAGTTTTTTATAACTTGTAGGAAATCAAAACAAGTGATTCAGTGAAGAGACTCTTTTCAACGAATTTATCATCAAGCTGTACAATCGTATATATATGGTTTTTAAGAAGTTATACCCTGTGAGGGAATTGAATCATAGGTGTGAATGCATGAAATAATAATAATGGTATGAAATGCCATTAAAATGTTTGTGATTATAATCGTAGATAAATGTCAAGTGGCAAAACAATTAATGTCATATATAGAATAATTCATAGGATGGATAGAACTTGGAAAGGGTGTGCAATTATAAGATAAGTAGGCAAATCCAACAAAATAAAAACGTTACGCAACATTGCGTGAAATTTGATAGCATAGAATTTAACGTTGTAAAAAGGAAGAATTGATTTAGAGTGACAAGTGGAAGAAGTGAAATAATACCGGGGACAGTTCAAAGTGAGAATAGTAATAGTAACAATTGACGTTATAAAGGAAGAGTATACAAATTGAATAGACAAAATGAAAAACTGGTAGACCTAAAATATGATTGGGGATTACCACACTTTAGCATAGAGGGATTAAGACCATGAAAGTTGGAGGGGTTGAGTGAATTTTTTCTTTATACAGAGATCTGGTTTTCTGTTTCGATAGCCAAAGCTTCAGCAATACAGCTGAGTTGGGTACGTAGTAATGTTGCCAAATTACTTTTCTCCTTGTAGATGACTTTAAAGGAAGGAGCTATAGAGGTAGGGTGATCATTATCGACCAGATGTTCAATGATCGCGCTTCCTATTGCCCCACTTCCACCTCTTCGTAACCATACAGGATAGTGTTCTTGCACCCTCTTGGACAAAACTCGAGTCCAACAACCGATATACCTAGCTCCACACGTGCAGGTGAATTAATAAACGCACTGTCACTGTATTGCTAAGCTCAGTTCATCTATTCAAATCGTGTGTACCATTGATCATTTCAAACTTAATCTTCAATTAACACTACCGCTTTTCGATTCACAAGTGCTGAGTAGAGTATTTTATTATTCTTCCGTATAGTTCCGAGTGTAACGTGGAACTTTAACGGCACATTTGCATTTCTTACTGCTCTCTGCAGTCCTTCCAGTCGGCTCCATGATGGCCTGTAGGCTTTTTTCCCTTCTCATGCGAGCTTCTCTGTGTAACCCTACGACATGCATTTTACCCTTTCTCATTCAGGCTTCACTCGAGTTTATGCCTGGCGCATGATATCATTCAACGGTAGACCCGTTCGACTGAAATTTCATAAATCCTGCCGATTTCACAATTGTTGCTCCATTAAAACTCAGAGTGAGAAATTACCGTCGACGGCTTCCATCTTTGTAACAGATAGATCGGTATACTTTCATTATTTGTGATGAGAAGTGTGATCTGAAAAACCTACTTCAAACCTTGAATAATGACCACCCGAATGTTGATTTCACTCTGGAAGTTGAGTCTCACTCAGTGTTTCATTTTCTCGACGTTCAACTACCAAGGAATGCTGACAACTCACTAAGAAGATCAATCTAAAAAAGCCCACAATGAACGGACAGTTGTGTGCCTCTAAACAGAAAGAGAAACCTAATATACTCTATTTCTTCGAGGATCCGGAAGATTTGCACTGAGGAGACGATTGACGAAGAATTGCGAAACCTCCGAGGAAATTTGATGGAAAATCGATTCCCACCCAGATTCATAGACAGGAATCTAAATCCAAAGAAAACGCCTGAAAAGGTTCAAGTCGCCCCCAAAAAGATGCTGATACTGAACCTCGAATATAAAAGTGATACCGAAGCAGAACTTCTCCATAGATGGCTTTCGAAGTCTCTCAGTAAAACATACTTCACCGCCTGCCTACGAGTGACATTCTCCTGCAAGAAACCACTCACCCAACGCGTGGGAGACAAGCTGTCGCATTGGGCCACTTCAACATGCACATACCAGTTCACTTGCTGGTGTGGAGCTGAGTACATTGGCCAAACCATGCGTCCGCTTGTAGAATGTGCTCGAGAACACTATCCAGTATGGTCAACAAAAGGAGAACGCAAAGGTGTATACAGTTCAATAACAGACCACCTAGTGAATTCAGGACATCCAGCCCCATACGAAAAGTCCTTCCAAGTCATTTACACGATCCAATCCAACCTATCGAAGGGAGTGAAATCAAGGCATCTAGGAATAGCTGAGGCACTGGCAATCCAAAAACTCAAGCCTATTCTATGTGTCCCAAAGAATTTACGTGCAACCGTTGTCCCTACCGTGGATATCACGGAAAGTCAGTCTCACCAATAATAATTAACCAATTAACTTTCTTGTCCAATCTTCCCATTTATTTTTGATATTTTTACTTTTTTAACTCCGGTCTGCATTACTAAATTTGCTTGCTGTTTTTCAAATTTTTATATGTCCGATCTTCCTACCTATTTTGTTATTACTACGTCCTTAATCCGTAATTTGTGGAAACAGTCAAGTTTTCAGTAATTATGACCTTATAATGTCTTTTCTACCCAATCTTCCTGATTATTACACTTTGTAACTTTATTAATTTGACGCTAAAGTACACCAAGCTGCATCGTTTCCTCCAGTCGGAACTGCCTTCACTGTTTGCAAATGAAAATGTAGATCTTGATAATAATAAAAAAATCATGAAATTGCCTCACATCCAACATAAGTGTGGTGGTTTCATACAAATTTCCGTAGTACTTAGCAGATTGTTATGCCCCATGATGCCTCTTCAAACCACTCAGTCATCATCATCTTCCCAGTATCTATCCAATATTATCAGGGAATAGTTCAAAATGAAGCATCGTGTCATTAAATTATAATATATTAATAAAAGGAACTAGACAGAAAACCGGTGAGAAAACATGTCTCATTCATTTGAATAGCCAAAATGACCCATGTATCAATTCTACATTGAATGCAATATTAACCCTTCCCCCCATTTGTAGGATGACCGTAATACTCACAAGTCCTCTTCATTTTTTTCAAAAATTACACATTGACTCAGATTCATTATAGTGTGGTGGTATTCTAGAGTTGTTGGGCTAGACAATAATCTCTGAATTCGAGATATCAAAACGTTATTTTCCATTATGTGTCACATCTCTGTTCATCCACACTTCGACAAAGAGTGCACACAATACGATGTATGTCTGACTTAGTCATGAAAACTCAATCAAACAAACTACATCCCGTGTGTATTAGAACTATAGGATTGTGACTATTGCAAGAAAAAAACAAAATAGACTCAAACCAGCTCATTTCGAGATACACCTGCCTATGAAGTCAACACTTTACTCAAAATATCTATACATTGTCACTTCAGATTCTAACACAATTTAGGTTCGACCTCCACCTTCATTCCTACTTACCGTTAGGTTACCCATAATTTTACTTATTCTAAATTATATATCATTTTCTGCAGCAAGCTGTGTAAGCTTATCAATATTCTACGCTGAAAATCTGTGTTCAGCTTATTGCAATAATCAAAATATTCATAGTGTTCACTTATCCACACATCCAGCCAACAGTGAGGGATTCATACTGTGACACGTTAACGAATTCTCACTCTCACTTTGATGCAATATAAGTTGAAATTTACAATTCCACGACACACGAATATTATCATCCACAGCAGTCAGCAAAACCAAATAATCCCACACTTATCAATTGTATTCACCATTCGAACAAACATACCTCAGCTGTAAGTATCAAATGATATGAATTGAAGTGAATTGCATGTTTTCATGAAGTGTTTGTTGTCCTACCATTTCACCATTCGTCTGGAATGTGGGCTGGTCATAAGCTCCTACCTGGAATCAATGTGAGCCAATATGAAAGAAAACTTAGAGATGTGACATGTGGGATATACTGATGGAGAAATTCCACATTGACAAATGACAAGCTATCATCTGTAGAACGTCGCTGATCGTGTTTTTAGTGAAACCGTCATTGCTTCTATATATTGTAGTTTTTCTCTATGGTAATTTTCAAATATGCACTGTCAAGGTTCACTGCATCAAAATATGCTGAACGAAGCATGGGAACCAGGAATACAACGAGTCTAGAGAAGAGATACTCATCTCATAGTCTAGTGTTCATCAAACGCCTTGCACAAACAAACAGCATATTTGGAATACACGAGGGGATATTTTGCAGAGAATGGTACGTGAATAAACGCAGACATTAGGAACACACATTCCACCACCAGTCACATTACTCAACTGTCATCTAAATGGCTGATTTATGATTGTGCAAACTTCCTTCTAAGTGGTTTTCTTGAAGAATGATATGAAATAAGTAGGAAATGAGAACATTTCTGACGAAGGCCTTTGTCTTATAAAAGCTAATGTGAAATTTCCTCCCTAAGGCTGAAATGAAAGTCAAGAATTTTCCGTTAATAATTCCTATCGTAACCACTTCGAGTAAGTACGTGACAGAATTGAAATCTGAGCTAATCCTATAATCCTATATAGAAAGCTGAGTGGATTAAATTAGATAAATGACTGTTGACTTTATGGGAGAAATTGTAAGTTGAACAACTAGTGGAATTAACAGAAAGTAACTAAATCGAATACGAATTTCATATTGTGTTACATTGTACTTATTTACATTCAATGTCATAGAACTACAGTCACAACAATGAATTAAACCGA